AATTCCCCTTTTACCCTTTTTTAAAACCAGAAGCGATCTGAATTTTCATTTTTGTAGGTGAGCAAGCCAGTCAATTATAAGAGTCACTGCAAAAAATAGCACAACAAATAATCTGTGCGGTAGATGTGAGGATGAAGGAATACATGGAAACATAGTGGCCAGCATTGGGGAGGTCAGTGGGGGATGAACTAGGACAATTTACACACTACAAAATAAAGCACAGATATTATTATAGACCAGTCAAGGATAAGTGGGTAGCGATCTGTGCTGGAAGTGCAGGGCCGAAGCAGACAACTTCCATGCCCACAGGAAATGTGGGGATGCTTCTTTGTTTATCCTTTTTGGAAGCAAGTCATCGAAGGTCACAGAGAGCTTTTGGAAAAAACGCTATCAGGATCAGGTCTCTTTTACTACCAGGTTTGTCTGAACCAGACTTTTTGGTCACACTTCTTAATTTAACCTCCTCATTCCTCCTCTTTTTCCCAGATATTCCAGCTCTATAAAAGCAGGTACATCACCACACTCACATTAATGTGCTTCTATAGAGCTCAGTCTTTGTATTAGTTCATTATTTAATAGAATGTTTTCTTTTTATCTTCTCATAAACAAAACAAACATGGCAGCTGGTGAGACAGACGCTCACCATCTCCAAGACCAAATCAGACACTGTTTTTGAATCATCCTGTAATTATTTCAGAAATGTTTATGTCCTTTTAGAAGGTCCCTGTTGTGAAAGGTAAAAGGAATAGATATTTATTTCTACATACACAAAAAAAGAGATCCGTTTTAATGTACAATAGTCTGGACATTGGGACATTGGAGTGAATTATGCCCTTGTGTTCTTTGTGTTCTTTGTGTTCTGTACGCTCTTAATTTTTTATTATGATATGAAAATGGCATCATCTCAGGAGCCAGGATGTTCCAAGACTTCAGACACTTTTCATGCAGCTGTGCCTCCAGTAAACACAGGAAAAGTTCAGTGCCTGCTTTGTGTCTTAGTTTGGAGATAAATATGCTAGTTTTTATTAAAAAAGTTCACATTTTATGCACCACATTCCAAATTTCCAGTACACTGGACACTGAATATTATATGTTTCCCAGTAAACAATTAAAAAATCACATATTTATTTAATACGCAGCAGAGAACATAGTGTTCCCATGGTGTTCTAATGGGGTTCTGGTGGTGTTCTGATGGTGCTCTGGTGTTGTTCTAATGGTGATCTGATAGTGTTCTAAATGTGTTCTAATGCTGATCATCAGAAACACCTTTAGAACACAATCAGAACACCATTAGAACATAATTAGAAACATTAAAAAACATTAGAACAGCGTAAGAACACCACCAGTAAATCATCAAACACCATTAGAACATCATTGTTTTTTGTTTGTGTCCAGTCGCTCAGTTGCTCATGATGCCTGACCTGTTCTGTTAGTGTGTGTAATGTTAATGCTGTTGTAATCTGTCCAGGTATTGTTTATGTATGTATTGTAATCTATGTAATGCGTTATGTTTTATGCTGTAAAGCTCATTTAAAAGAAAAAAAAAATGAAAAAGTTGCAGTCAGCATGATCTCATTACTCTAATGTCATGGACCTCCTATAAATGTTTATGACAGGCATAATGCTCATTTAATCTTTCATAATTTCTGTACAATTCAGTTGTTGAAATGTAAACAAGGTCATTCCGTGTGGTTTGATGTGAAATGCTCTAAACTTACTGACTGTACTGGTGGATGCCTTACAGTGGCCTGCATGTACCACTCCAGCATTAAGATATTGATTCTTTAAATATTTTGTTGGCCAAAACTCTCAGGCATCAGGCAGCATTTCATGTAATAACTTTCTGTGAGGGAGCTTTTAGAGATGGACGTCTGGTTCCTATCACCACCACTGTGAACAATTCTGACAGCATTTCACACCAAATAACTCTGAATGGCTTTGTTTACATCCTGTGGATTGAATTATGCAGCAATTTCGCTTTAATTCAGTTCTTAAAACTTATTATCCACTACTGTAAACTATTGCAGCATAGTTATGGGCTGTTGCAGTTTAGTTTTTTATGTTTTGCTGCATTTTAAATATGCATATATGTCTTGTTCCATATATTGCACTTCTGTATAACCCTGACGAGCTATCATTGCAGGCAATGTTGCTATTAACCTTAACTCAGCCCCATTTAATAATACTGCAAGCGGCCTGTTACAGCACAGTAATTCAAATGCATGTTAAGACTGCATCTTTCACTGCAACCAGAGCCGCTTCCCATGTGCGCGGTGGGAACCCCAGTGCACAGCGGTCATTTGTGTCCAGCTGGACTTAAACAAACACTGTAGGTGGCAGTTCAGAGCTGGGGTTTGTGCTGCACGCTCAGTAATGTGAGGTGAACCACAGCCATGTTAGTGCACGATTACCATCTACTGCAAAACCAAATCCAGCCTGCCGTCCCTGATTGCCAATCACAGCCGGTCTATTCACATCCCATGCGTTTTCAAACCTGCCTGTCAGTATCCAGGCTTGACGCGTGAGCTCATTCTTGCACAATCCAGAAAGCATTTCCTACCCTGAGGGTATACAGTACAGGAGGCAGTAGAAAGCCTGCAGCAAAACTTTTGTTTTGATCTACAACAATACCATGGAGATGAGGGGGAGTTCGAGAAACGGCTGGATGCAAAATTCATGGAACTGTTGCAGTTTAAATGCTGCGTACTATACGGTATGCATGCGGGGCAAGGTAGTAGTTCCATGAACTCTGGACGAAGCCCTAAGCTAAAGAAAGAGCAGAGGTGATTCATTCTTGCATTTTTCTTACTGTACACCATGTACAGTTCAAGGGACTGCTGCGATTGAAATTCTGCGTACTGTACACCATGCATGCTGGGTATTGTAATAAATGCATGGCTTTTTACAACAAAAACAACATTCCATGAAGTAGTAGTTCATGGAAATACTGCTTTTTTAGTGCCACTGGGTCCTCAGAATTACAAGGTCATTTAGCCGTCAAAATAATGCCACATGCAGGCTAAAACTGCTGTGCATTGAAATGATGTTGCATGAAGGAAGACACTTGGTGGTTTGGGCTATTATGATGAGGTTGCCATCCTTAAATGTCAGTTCAATACGCAGCAGTGTTGGCTTGCGTGTTGTGAAAATTCATATTTTGGCTCCTTAATGGCTTCAATTTATGCAAACTTTCACAGACGGCATGAACTCACCCAACCAACCGATGTTATCTGTGATGCTGGCATGGCGACAACCAAGCTGACAGATCAGCTGTGTCCTTTATGACAAACGTCAAAAGGATTGGTTTGTCTCTGCTTCGTCAAATGTGATGCTAGCATCTCCAAATGTGGCTTAAAATGATTTCTGGATGTCCAAGCTACATGTGAAATCACAGCTCCTGAATATCGCACTTTTAAAAAATGAAAAAACAAACATCTACATTTACCTAGTTTGTAAGGGACAAAACATCATGCTTGTTTCTTTTCTAAATATTATATTGTTAATTTGTGTTGCGAATGTATTTTAGCCTTCACTATGCTCTGCATCTAAAACGTCTCCTGATTTTTGATTGGTTCACCATGCAGCAGTGGGCGGGGAAAAATAGTGATGTTTCACCTCCCCCTCCCTCCAACCCCATCTGTCATTGAGAGAACACATTCAGCTAGCTCAGAGACCCTCCCTGACACTGTCTCACTCACGAATACATCACAATACTCACAAGTACATCCCACTAAAATGAGTTACGATTTCCTGTTCATGTTAACTTCAATGTTGCATACATTGCGTACACTATGCATGCTGGGTATTGTAGTTGCATGAAGTTTGGACACCAGTTGACCCTACATAATTGCATTATTACAGTATTATTGCATCATAGCAGAACTAATTCTATCATTGCACCATTATAGCCATTTTATTCATGCACACAGTGCATGCTGGGCATTGTCGTAGTTGCCTGAATTTTCAGACTTACTCTGAGAATCAACATATAATGCCATCATTTCATCACTGATCACTATGCATGATGGACATTATAGTGTGGTTCCATGAATTCAGGCTGATACTTGACCCAAAAAGACTGATAATTCCATTGCACTATGCATTCTGGTCATTATAGGTATTCCATGAATTTTGGACTATCCTAAAGAATACCAGATGTGATTCCAACATTGCATCATCATTGCAATAAATCTGTTGCATAAATACAGATTTATAAGCAGTCTGCTCCTTTTTCTCCCCCCTGCCTCATATCAGTCACTTCTGGAGGAGCGTTCATCCGAGAGCGGATTAAGAAACAGAGCGAGGCAGCATGCTTTTCCTTCTCTACAGCTCCGACAGTATCGTAGGATTCTTAATGCTATGTTATACGTATTATGACAGAACATCGCTGTCATAAGAAAACCTCTCCTAAATATCCCCTAAACTTAACATCTGTTTATGTATTGGGATTTTGTTTGTTTGTTGCTGTCATAACAAAACCTCTTATCTCTAAAATGTTAACTTTATACAAGAAGGAAAAAAAACACGCTTAGCATTAAATTTTACATAATGCACATTTTCTGTGGACACAATCTAAAAACCTTTTTCAAATAACGTGAGAACAAAAAAAGCGCAAAAAAAATTACAATGTTTTCTTACGACACATGATTCCCCTCTTATTTTTAAGTAGCTGTAGTCTGCAAAGCAATACTGAAGCATCCTCTAAACTCTTCACCTCCTGACCTACAGATTTCTCATTCCGTCCATTTCCGACCATTTCCGACAACGCCGCCGCGACAAATCAGGTGTGTGTTAAAATTCGTGCCCCCTGCTCCTCCACAGATGGTCCTGTTTGAACTCCCCCTACCCCCATAAACCCACCAAGAGAACCACCACGCTGACATCTAAGCAGACTTTTGAGCCACGCGCATGCATGTGCAGAAAGTGATGGACAGAAGGCTGCAGACCGCTGTAGGGGTCAGTTTAAGGTCCGGCGGGCTGCAGGATGAGCGGTCACTTACCCAGAAACATGCTGCTGCTCTCCATGGCTCATCACACTCACATATCCCCGGCTACAATGCGCACTCTGCTGCTGCCGCCGACTCCACCAGCCGCTCCATGATCTCAGCACGACTGAGAGACTGAGAGAGGGAGAGCGAGAGAGAGAGCACCGGGCGTGTGAGTGTGTGGCTTCGACTGTGTGTGTGTAAGTGTGTGGCTGCCACAACACCGTGGCCCGTCCCTCCCCGTCACTCTCTCTCTCTCTCTCTCTCTCTCTAGCTCTCTCTCACTGTCTCTTTCTGTTTACCCCTTCTCTCTCTCTCTCTCTCTCTCTCACTGTATGTCTATCTCTCTCTATTTCTTCACTGTCTCTGTTTCTCTCTCCCTCTCTATCTCACTCTCTTTCTGTATATCTCTCTTCTCTCTCTCCCTCCCTTTCCCGCTCTTTCTCCTTCTCACCCTCTCTTTCTTTATGTCTTTCTCTCTCTGTGCTTATCTCCCTCACTCTTTCACCTTGTTTCCCTTTCTAGCTCACTCTATTTCTCTTTTTCAGCCTCTCCCTCTCTCTGTATGTCTCTCTCACTCCTACTCTCTCGTTATGTCTCTCTAGCTCATTCTCCCTATCTGTATGTAACTCTCTCCTCTCTCTTTCTGTATGTCTTTCTCCCTTCTTTATCTGTCTCTCCTTCTTTTTCTCTCTGTATGTCTCTTTATTTTATTCTCTGCCTCTCTGTGTGTCTCTCTCCCTCCTCTCTCTCTGTATGCGTCTCCCTCCTCTCTGTATGTCTCTCTTCCCTCCTCTCTGTATGTCTTTCTATCTTATTCTCATTCTCTCTTATTCTCATTCTCATTCTCTCTTATTCTCATTCTCATTCTCTCTTATTCTCTATATCTCATTCTCTCTCTGTATGTCTCTCTCTCCCTCCTTCTGTATATCTATCTCATTCTCTACCTCTATCTCTGTATGTCTATCTCTCTCTCTGTCTCTCTCTCTATGTCTTCCTCTCTCTGTGTAGGTCTCTCTACCTTCTTATTTCTCTCTATTTGTCTCTCTCCCTCCTTTCTCTTTCTGTATGTCTCTCCCTCCTTTTCTCTGTGTGTGTCTCTCTCCCTCCTTCTCTCTCTGTATGTCTCTCCCCCCTCCTTCTCTTTCTCTCTGTATGTCTCACTTACCCTCCTTTTCTCACTATATGTCTCTCTCTCCCTCCTCGCTCTGTATGTCTCTCTCTTCCTCCTTCTCTCTCTGTATGTCTCTCTCTCTCCTTTTCTCTCTGTATATCTCTTTTCCTCCTTCTTTCTCTGTATGTCTCTCTCTCCTTGTCTCTGTATGTCTCTCTCTCTCCTTCTCTCTCTGTATGTCTCTCTCTCCCTCCGTCTCTCTGTATATCTCTCTCTCCCTCCTTTTCTCTCTCTCTGTATGTCTCTCTTACCTTCCTTTTCTCATTGTATGTCTCTCTATCTCCTTCTCTCTCTGTATGTTTCTCTCTCCCTCCTTCTCTGTCTGAATGCCTCTCTCTCCCTCCTTCTCTCTCTGTATGTCTCTCTCCTTCCTTCTTTCTCACATGCAGAGTATATCCATCTCGTCCAAACTGTGCTGCTCTCTCTCTCTCTCTCTCTCTCTCTCTCCAGCTGTAATCGGACTCCGCACTGAATGGGCTCTCGTCGCCGTGGCGATATCAGTGAGAGTCGAGCTGCTGCTTCTCCTTCACTCATTTGTTCTGCAGGAGTGTTTCACACACAAGCATACCACCTCTCTCTCTCTCTCTCTCTCTCTCTCTCTCTCTCACTCTCTCTGCCTTAAATCACACTCTCTTTCTCTTTTTTCCCTCTCTCCACCTTTCCACTTTCCTCTCCATCCCTCTCTCTTTATCTCTCTATATTTCCTCCTCTTTGCTCTCTCTTGCTACCTTCCACCTCTCCTACCATTTCTTTCTCATCTCGCTCTCCACATCTTTTTATGTCTCTATCTTTTTATGTCTTTCTCCTCTCCTCTCTCTACCTTTGTCACCTCTTTCTCTCCTCTTTTGTCCCTTCTTTTTCTTGCTTGCACTCCCTCATTCTAACCTATCCATTTTTTCCTCTTCTCTCTCTTTCCACCTCTTTCTCTTCTCTCTTGCTCATTTGCCCTTTCCAACTCATCCATTTTTCTCTTCTCTCTCTTTATACCTCCCTCTCCCCTCCCTCTTTGCCACTCTCATTATCTCTTTCTACTTTTTCACCTCTCTCTTTCTTTCTCTCTCTCTCTTTCTCTCTCTCTCTCTCTCTGGCTGACATTAGGAAGGACAACAAATCTCTGCATCGTCCCGTGTCTCTTCAAACTCTTCTGACCTCTTACTTCTCTTGCTTCGCTCTTTCTCAGATCCTCCTGCCTGAAGGTCAGCAAGAATTGACCGCTGCAAAGCCACCCAGCACATATCGACTACAAATGAGAGGCTTAGCTTTAGAAAAACTCACTGGACAGACACGTGCGCGCACACACACACACACACACACACACACACACAGACACACACACACACACATAGAGAGAGAGAGAGAGAGAGACAGGAACACAATTCACTTAGATAATAATACTCTCTCCAGTAACAGCAGAGGGGAAAGAAATCCTCATTGTCTCTGAGGAGCGCGATTCCTCACTCTGAGTGCCCGCAGCTAAGAGACGGCAGACTCTTCACAGCCTCGGCCAGATGTTTTCAATTAATCCCAAACTCCCTCGTCCTTTTCCCAGACACTCCCTCCACCGTCACCAGCACTACTAGCAGCACTTTGCATAAACACGTCACTGGAGCCAAATCAAATCATGTTTTATTTGTTCAACTTTGCTCTACTTTGTACTAACTCACTGTACAATAATGATACAGTATTTTATTCCAAGTAATTTTGGACCATTTCTATTGGTGCATTCATCATGAAATGTTCACACAATGTAAAAAAATGGTCTTATTAGGTTTTGACAAGCCAGTTACAATACTTATCTGGTTTGGTCATCAACAAATCAAATGTCTCAACCAAGACTTTGGAGATGGGCCCTTAAACACATTGAAATCTGCCGCCAGAGGAGCTTTTCCATGTACACTTCCATGTTGGCCACAGTCATGCATGGTTTTAAAGAGGTGGCTGATGTGGCCAGGGCCACCCCTGAAATCTGATTGGCCACCCCAAAAGCCACCCCAAAATTACTGCCACTTCATTGGCTTCCACCACGCTGTGGGGTGGGTGTTTAAGCCTTTAAGAGGAGAGGTGGAACAACTCTCTACTCCCCCCTGTACCACATCCCCCACCCCCTGCTTGCACTTTCTTGCAGGTACGTCTGTTCCATGTTGGCAATTGGGGGAAGAACTGTTCCAACTCACGCTCAACCAACCCGCCACCGCCTGGTCACACTTTCATACAGCTGCCCTGACGAAACACCTTTTTTCTAGAACCACCACTGAACAGCAAATGCTAGTCTGTACAACTGTAGCTTTCTTTGTGCTACTGTGTTACCTATCACTGCATGAAAGATGCACAAGGCTTCCTTTATTGTTAGATGCCCTGTGATTTGTTTTGAGTGAGCATGTGAGCCAGGGCTATTATTTGTAATGAAAATAAAAAATAGCCATTATATACAAATATACTCATAAACTAAAATAAAAACAAAAATGTATTTATTTAAAAAACACAAAAATGATATCAAAACAAGTTAGCCAGCTATAATTAATGATATGAATGAACTTTAACATACATGGTGTATGAAACTTTATGGTCAGCATAACAGACTTAACCAACTAATGTGTCTGTATACTCATTGATCTAAAACTAATTTTATTATGGAATTCGGAATTCCTATTCCTGAGTTCATTCCTATTCATGAGCTTCTATTGAACGCAGCATTCATTTTCAGTTGCTCACTGTTTTACACATTATACACATTATTTCATCCACATTTTTAGATTTTTGAACCCCCCCTCATGGTTAGAGTTAGGCTTACTTGCGCTATTTGTTTGTAGCTAAAGCTTTTATCTAGATAGCTAGCTATGCTAACTATGATAACTTGCAAATAATGCCAAAAACTACTACCTTTAGTTCAAAGTAATACAACCCAAACAACGTTAGAGTGACTCAGATGTGTGAAACAATCCAAAGCAGAGCTTGATTGGTATCGGTTATCGATCTGATACTGTGCTTATTTACTCATACTCATCTCATAAAACAGGCACTGCTACTAACATCCGATACCAGCTGATACCATGTGACGTAAGCCGAATGTACGCTGCCGCACTAATGAACAATCAGCTTAAGCTAGCAGTGAATGAGGGTCTGCACATACAGAGGGGTGTTACTGACTCTGTGGAGGTCAGACACAAAGTCACCGGTCATTTTAAACATTCCACCTTGGCAAATTCCTGCCAGAACCACACTGCCATTTTTAAACGCATTCAAACACAATTGCTTCCCTTCCCAACTGCTTTACAGGTGGAGACACGTAGGCTAGCTAAATGGAGGCAAAAATAGTCGACATTTGCTACTGAATAGCAAGGCATAAACGTTAATACATCATTTTTCAAACTGTCTTTACAAAATAGGCTGTAGAGAAACGACATTGTCCTATAGTGGTTTTAGCAGTTAGCAGAGCTGCTGTAGCTCAGTTTCTCAGCATGTTTGCTAAGTATTCGGGTATCATTCAGCATGTTATTTTGAATGAAACAAATTTATTTGAAATTGTTCATTCACAGAGCTGTCTGTAGGGGCTGCATTTCACGTAGCATGTCAATCAGAGTGTTTTCACACAGTGTGAGCATATTAATCATAAGCTTTGTCAATACACGATGTTCTATTCAAACCTACATGTGATTTGTTAAAGAACTAAAATTTATAAAATCACATAGTAGCTTTAGAGGACGTTTAGCCAAAACTGAACCAGCTAAACAAAACAAGATGTAAAACTCTAAATGTGAGCATTAACCTTGGATGTGAGTCCTGCTGTCACTGTGCAACAGAGACTGTTGCTGAATAAGCCTGATGAGGAGCGGTGATCAAAACTATGAAAAGTTCTGTACAGCAGCACGTCTCTAATGTGGAACAAAGCCTGCTCTTCTCCACTGCATTACTACTCAATCCAAGGTAACTAGCATAGCTAGCTAATGCACATCATTTAAAATCAGCTAGATTTCAATGATTTAACTGTTAAGGTACACTGCACTCATTTATACCAACAACTACCTAATTCTAACTAGGTTACTCAGTATGGTATTGGGTCCTAAAAAGATCTCATACCTGTACTCAGTCAGATAAAAATGGTATTGATGCATTCCTAATTCAGACAAAGTTATATTTTAGCTGGGTAGCTAGCTAACTA